GTTTAGAGGGGGGAAGGCGAGGATATTAAACGATAATTGATTTTTCTTCTGACAAGCGCGCGAAGAAAAAACGAATTTAATGAAAAAACGTGTGAATAATAGTGTTGATCTTTGATAGTAAAAAATCGGTGGACGAGAGATTTAACGTTTGTACATATTCTGGAAATGTTTCCTCCGGATAGATGGGTCGCGGGGACGGTTGAACGAGTGGTTTTACGGGTGGTAAAAAAAAAAAAAAAAAAGAAAAAAAGAAGTTCGAGGAGACGAGAACGGTGAAATAGCTTAAAGGAATATTAAATTGCGAGGAAGTAAAAGTATCCTCCTCTGCCGGGAGGAAGTAGTTTAGTAGGAATAAGAAGGGAGAGTAAGAGGGGTGGTTCTTCTCTCGGGTCACAGCACCATCCAGATTCGTGAAGCGTGCGCGGACCTTTCCAAGATTCTTATCGCTGCTTTTCATCCCGATGCGTCTCGAATTACTTGGAAACTTTGGAATAGATTTATCGATTCGTTCTCAGCCCGATAAATTGTTGAAATTTCAAAGTGGACGAGGGGGGGAAAAGAGCAACACGCGAGAATGAAAAATTCGATATCGAAAACAGGGTGGATTTTTTTTTTTAATCGCGCCGACGGAATCGCGTTAATAGAGCGCGATTTGAAACGTTGGGGAGGGAATGAAAAGGTCGCAATTACGAGATGAGAGGGCGGATTTTTGGCTGTAATTAATTACCGCGCAAGTTTATTTATCCGTGGCCGCGCGATAATTTTCTCCCGACAATTTATCGAAATCCCGCCGATAAATACCGGCCTTCTCGATTAATCGAGCCGACACGTTCGCTCACCCGTCGCGCGATTAAATATTTTTCCTTAATTGATACTCTTCTCGAACGATTCTCTCTCTCTCTCTCTCTCGAAATAATCGGCGGGGAATTTGACATGGCGGGTCAGAAATTCTAATTGCGAAATCAAGTTCCAACCGTGTTTGATATTTGTTCAACGAAACTTGGAATCATTTCCTTCTCCCTTGCCCTGATCTTTAATCCGGTCGAGCTAAAACAAACGCACCCTCCAATTTATTCCTCTCGAGCCGACATCACCGCAAACTTCACCCTTCTCGCCCTACCCAATCGTCTAATCTGCCTCTCCATTACCTATCCATCCATATTTAGCGACTCACCCTTCCTCTGTATCTCGTCTACATACGTAGAACACACTCTACACTATATGTATTTCCAACGGTGTATCTATGCTTCGACATCCTGAAACAGAAAACAATTGCATTCTACTTTCCTTTCTTAGAAATAGAAAAGAAAACACGCTGCAATCATTGTATCAATCATTCTTTTCGTTGATCAACTTTTACGTTCGTTTGTTTCTGGAACGAATCGATTCGTTTCGAGGAACGAAATACTTTAACGCTACCTTACTCAAATTTCGTTCACCGTTCAATGATCTCGAAGGGTTAATGATTCGCAACGCGGCGGTGAAAGTGGCGAGCGCAACGAACGAGAAGTCGAGGGGAAGAAGGGAGGGAGAAGCGAGCCGCGAAGCGTATCGATTGTCGGCGAGATCATTTTTCATTGGAGGCGAGAAATCGGGCTGCTCGAGACGTGGAAAAGATTCGCGGGACGCGTGTTGCGATCCCTGCGATTTGCATATGAAAGCCACGCATTTTCTGGCCACTCTCTCTCTTCCTCTCTCTCTCTCTTTCGATTGGCAGAGAATCCTTCTTCTTCCTTCGCGAAGGAAGACGATGGCGGCGGCGGTGTTGTCTAGGCCGTGGTGAACACGATCAATGAGGGGAGCGCGTGGCTATACCTCTTCCTCTCGAGAGGTTGAAAAAGGAGACGGTGGAATTCTTGGGATAGCGCGTTCGCCTAGCGGCGCCATTTGCATGTGCGACTGGATGCTGGAACGACGCTCTCGGTGTCGTTTGATGTCGATTCTTGGGGATTGCGAGATTTCGTCGAGTTTTGTAATACGAATGGCGGCTAAGGATCCGCTTACCAGCCGGTGTAGAATTTGAAAATGGAATAAAGGAAAAGAGCGTTTCTCGAGTGGATATTTTTCGGGATCACAAAGGGAAGGGCCGGCTGACTTTGAATAATAAAATGTGGATGGGATAGATCGATGCGTGGCTTTTTATCTAATTTATATTTCAAGAAGGGGAGAGAGGGAGAGATGCTTGGAATAAAAGTTACGAAAGTTTCGTTGCGTGTATCTGGTCGAGAAAAAGTAAAGGATCGAACATGTGGGATGACGATCACTTTCAAAGAAGGGCGTTTTCTTTCGTGTTTCTTTCGAATCACCACGAATAAATTTATCTTCGAGTATGATGCACCTGAAACTTGGAGAGGGGGACAGCAAAGTGGGTCACCTTTCGCCAAGTTTCTCGAAACGAAGGGAGGGAGGCGGAGCAACGGCCGAGTCGCGACAAAAATTATTCCAATACTTTGCGGTCGGGTTCCTCGCCGACAGCCCCTACTCTCCCTCGAATAAATGTTACACGCGCTCCGTAATTGGCCCGAAATTACGCCCAACCTGGTTATGGAGATTAAGATCGAACTGCGCGCGAACGGGAGAAGTGCTCAAAGGAAGAAGAGGAGGAGGAAAAAGAGAACAAGAAGAGAAGACAAGATTCCCCTTCCCTCGAAGAAAAGATTCTTGAGGAAAGAAGAAATTTTAACCAAAACAAAGAGAGAGCGAGAGAGAGAGAAGAAAAACGAAAGAGGAACGAAAAGATTTCTCAAAGAGAAGAGAAGAGGTTTTGACGAAGGGAGAAAAATGTATAGAAGCGAAAGTTTTTCTACTCGAGGGGGAAGAAAAGGAACGAGAAACCTTGATTCGAGGCAAAGAGAGAGAGAGAGAGAGAGAGAAGAATAGACTCGTCTTCTTGTTTCTTCTCCTCCGCTTCGAGGGGGGGGGAGAAAAGAGCGAGATAAAGAAGGATCGTTGGCGGCTCAATAAGGATGGAACAAAAACGAGAAGATGGTCGGGCGATTTAACGGTGTTACATAGTGAGAGTAGCCCGTTGTCCCGAGGTACAATGCCGCGTAATTTCTCGTAATAGGTCGGTGGAACGGCGTAAACGACGTGATCTATGGCTGTGGTGGAAGGCTGACGCTCGTCTCCGACTCGCGAATCGATTAAACGCGCCTGTTTTGCCGCGCGCACGCCTCATTTCACGCGTCGTAACGAACCACGCCGAGCCAAGTCGAGGAATCGGTGACGTATCTCGACATTTTTAAGAGTTTCTTCATAGAATCGCGTCGTCCCGTGAATCGCCGATTTCTTACGCCTCTCGTTCATCTCGAGAAAGGTATAAGTAATCTCTAACTTGCGTTCCTTTTACGTTTCCACGAGGCGCTTAACATCCGTTCGACCAAGATCCCATTCCCTTCTCGTTCCTCCCCACACGTGCTCGATTGCCCGACCGAATTAGAGGGGAAAAATGGCAAAAACTCGTATCTTCATCCGTTTGACGAATAAACGAGCATCCAACTCGTGGTTGCACCATCATTCTTGATCGAGATCTCTGCGTTAGCATCTAACAATTAGGAAATTTATGTCAGAGGAACCAGTTCATCCTCGATTCGTCGAGGAGAGGGAAGAAAATGCGCGGGGACATCGACGAAAGGGGGATCGTCGGAGGAATATGAAATTCCTCTGCATTATCAAGGTCAAACGTTGGAGGAACGTGACTTGGAACGGAGCTGTTAGCCACGTCACGCACGACTGGCCGTGATAACCGACGACACTGGATGTTCTCGGAAGCATCAGTCCTTGGATACGCCAGGGGGCCAACGCCATCGGATGCAGACTGAAAGAAAAGAGAGAGAGAGAGAGAGATTGTCCGTTTTCTCGTGCAGACCACGTCGGGCAAAAAACGATTAAGCTCCGGTCATCGACATTCCGGGGCGCAAGGCGGAACGCGCGGCCGATATCGTTTGATATCGTAAAATAAATCGAGCTTAAGTGATATCGAGCACGGGGACTCCACTTCCTTCCCTCGTCGATTCGATCCTGGAATCTATCTCTAACTCTGGAATCACGATTTCTACTACGAATTTCGACTACGATCTTCTCTCTCGATCTCGCTCTCCTTCCCTCTCTGTCTTCTTTCTTCTTCTTTTTTTTTTTACTCTCCGCGCGCATCGCGTTGGCCCGGCCAACGCTGACGCTCGTAATTTGTTTTACTCAATTTCATCGGGCCGCTCGGCAATTATTTACACTGGTTAATCGACAATTTCACGCGTAATTACGTTTTAATTTTGAATAATCCGCGTTCGACGCGGATCGCCGGCACGCTTTTGTCCGTCTCGCGGGCCGGCTATGTCGGGGAGAACCTCTCGTCTCGACTTGTTGAATTATATTGGGAGGATCGTGTTCGAGGAATGAAAGCAGAGGGGAGAGCCACGAGGGGGGAATGTAAATCGTCGTAAATCATCCGTGTAAATAATTTCTTTCTGTTTGTTTGTTTCGGAATGCGAGCCCGGTAATCTCGTTCGTGAATCGTTGGTCAATCGTAATTACGAATAATATCTTTTTCCCCCGAAAAGATCTTGGATTTAGGAGTTAAATTTTTGGTAATCTCGCGTAATTTCATCGATCCTATTATATACGAAGATTTTTAATCGAATTCGTTCTAAATTCTCTAAAGATTTCTTTTCGCAAAATTACTTACAAAATGTCCCTGAACGTCCTCTCCTAGCGAACAACACGTCCATTCGCATCTTATCTATCCTCGCCACGATTCTCTTATTACCCTCCTTTCGCCACCTGTTGTCCATTATCGTTCCTTCGACGACCATTATTTCCCCGAACGGGGACGAAACCCATCCACTGAAACCGAATACACTCGGTCGAATACGCTACGTCAAGACTCGAGAAACCAAAATATCGAGTGTCCCTCCCCTTCATCTCCCCTCCCCTATCAAGACGAGGAGGAGAGATTCGTACAATCTTCGCATAATCTGAAAGTTCTTTTTTTCACGTTTTTCCAGGCCGGTGCCCGAGCGCGAGCAGCACGTCGACGACGTTACATGATGGTGATGGTGGTGGTGGTTTCCGGCCGGTTCTTATGTCGGAGGGTCCCCCAAAGAAACGGCGAAAAAGGTAGGAACGATGGTATCAGCGAAACGAGTTCACCGGGTGGTGGGATGTTGGAGGAAGGGAAACGGGATGAAAGAAAGAGAAGGGGAGGGAAGAGGAGCGGAAAGTTTTGCTACAACGTCGGCTGAGATATTACCGTCGGTAGAATCCATTATGCCAGCCAGCGACTCGTTTTCGCGCTTTTTCTCCGCTTCGACAGCCTCCGCCTTTCGCTTTATCGGCCTATCGCGGCCTTTAGAAATAGAACGACGACGTTTCGCAGCCTTTTTCCCTTTTTTTTTTCTTCTTTCGCTCGGTCGAGTTCCAGGTAAAGACGGGGAAAGAACACCGGTAGAACTCCATTTATACGTACCTGTCGGCGGAGTAGATACAGGCTTGTGATTAACTGTCGTCCCCTCTCTTTCGCCAAGTTCGGCCAACTCCAACCGGGAGTTTATCCCGGCTAATTGGGGACGTATGGATTGATTATTGCAATTGGAAAGTAGCAGACTCGCTTTCGAAAAGGAAGTTGAGAAAATTTGAATCGGACGAACGGTTAATAATAGAAATTTAATATCTCTCCTCGAATAAGATAGAAACTTTCGGTTAATCGATCATCGAGACAATAATCTCGTTTCTAGGATAAACCGAATCGAATCCTTGGAGCGTGTATATGTAATAAATGTTTGTAAAACGTACACCGTGATTCGTTTGTTTACCGGATGGGAGCAGTTTGCTTAAACTGTTTGAATATGCGAGGCCGGGTTACGGTGGATAGATTTATGGAAATTGGATCAGCGGGCGGTGGAGTCCTCCATTCCTAGATAGAACGAATTCTCTTCTACGATTCCTACGGTTCTTCTTTCCTTTTTTTTTTTTTCCTCTTCAATCCTCTCCGCCCGCTAATTTGAATGATTTACCGCGGGCCCCTTCGTTGACCCGAATTAACGTTGTAAGATAGAAGGTGAAACGCGTTCGTTAGCGTTTCTACGATTAATTCAATTGCCCAAGATTCAGGTAAACGGAATCACAAACTCGATATCGATGATAAAGCGTTGCGTAGACTCGATGATTGGAATTGAAGTTGCAAAGAATCGCGAAACTACAATGCGAGATAAGCTTGTATCGAAGCTGATCCCAGTTTGACAAGCGAGGAGAAGGATCCTCTTGCGACTTTACTTACCCTTCCCTTTTATTTCAACCGAGACACATTGTTGCGGATTATTACCGCACTCGAGGAGAGCGGTGATTGCTGGCGGTTTATCGGTCGGTGCATCGGCCGTTTCGAAAAATGAACGGTTGTAATGGAAGAGGAGCGGGAACAGGTGCGAGATAGATGGTCGGTCCAAGAACATGTATATATATATATTTTTTAATTGGCAGATCGAGGATTTAAGTAGAGAATCGAGGCAAATTGATTCCGAAAGATCGAGCCCGAAATAGTGCGAATAACAAACAAGAATATCCATGTTTTTAGAGAAGAGGAAACCGATAAACGAATCCCGTTAATTAAATGTTAAACTCGAACGAATCTCGCGTCGAGGGAGGGATCCTTCGAGCGAGATACGTTGCCGCGTATGGGGATCCTCCTTCGGTAATATATCCGCGAAATTTCGTCTGAACACGGTCTGATAAACACGGCGATCGAAGCGAGGCACTCGAGATCGCGCCGCTCTTCTCGAGGAGGAGGAGGAGGAGGGGGTGGAAATTACTAGATACCGGCGAGCCGTTAATGTTTATCGTAATATACCCCCATTTTCGTGGTGGGTGCTTATTTTTTTCGCCTCGCCCCCTCGTTCCAACGAGACGCGAAAGAGAGGGAGAGAGAGAGAGAGATACACGACGCTGGCTGGCAAATATGAATTATTAAATTTGGACAAAGGTTCACGCCTGAACGGTGTACAGGAGGGGGGGAAGGACGCGGAATAAGACAAGCGAGTGCCTGGGCTCCCTGTAATCAGGCGCAATCACGGCGACTGCTTATTTACACCTCGAGTGAACCTCGGTGAAAGCGATGGGAGGAGGAGGAGGAGGAGGAGGAGGACTCGTCTGCAAAAATCGTAAACACGTGAGGGGCAGTGGAAGAGAGAGAGTTCCACGAGGGTCACGAGATTCTCCAATAGCTTTTTGAACCGCGCGGTATCCGACAGAGGTGAGAAACGTTCACGATTCATTGGGTGTTTTTAGCGTGTTAAACAGATGGGAGTGGGAGGGATTCGATCGGCGGGTTCATAAGCGTTCGAGATGGAGATTTAGAATGGAGAGATGCTCGATTCGATTCGAGGAGGTTTTTACTTATTGTGGATCTTGTTTATTAGTTTCTTTCGTTTCGTTCTTCTTCTGTTCTTGGAAAGAATATCGTCAATGTGTTCAATGTATTTTTACTTTCACGTTCGAAGGAAGTTTTGTATTTTGGAATAAGTTACGAATTTTCGATAATTTTTGCCTGGTTTATCCGTCAAATCTCGCGTGACGATAGAAAATTAATACGTGTTCCATTTCGTGTCTATTTTCCATCGGATTCGATCGTTCTCCGATTCTTGCTCGATTTTTCTCCGTTGAATCCCTCCTTCTTCCTTCTCCGTGGATGGAGAATCGATCTGGTAAGGAAAAAAAAGAAAAAAATCCCGTGGATTGCAGGAGAAGGTAACCGAACTATAATATTTCAACTTCGAAGGTAGAAGTTGGAAAGTAACTCGCCAATTCTGCTCTTCTCCGCCTTGCTCCTCCTCCGTCCCCCTTTAATTTCGACGTGCGCTCGTTGCATTTATTATTCGCCGTACTTTGATACACTCTCGCGCAAAATCTCGACCGGTTCTCGAAACAAAGAAACAGCGGGTGGGTCCCTGTCGCGAACGGAAGAGCACGAATGGTGCGTTAACCGAACAATGGTCGGGCTGCGTACCGATTCAATCCCTCTTACGTGTTAATCGAGATTTACATCGTAACCGCGTAATAACACGGTTCGCTTTTGAATGGAGCTCGCTCGATGATACGTTCGAGGAATTTTCTCGCCCCCACTCTCCAATACATTCTTATTCGATTATCGACGTACCAAAATAGAGTGATTTGAATTCGAAGATAAATTAACCGTTTTAGAATATAAATGTTATAATCTTCGATACGATATACGATGTAATTATCGTTGCATTTTTCAGTATTTACGAAAAATCCACCTTCTATTTCTCAATGTCGATGGAAAATCGAATCGACATCGAGAAAATTCTCCGCGAATTCTGTTCGTTCGTCATCCCTTGAAACTTGTGGAAATTCGAGCAAATTCGAGAGTGTACCAAGTTGGGTGATCACGGGAGAGGCGGACACGGGCGACGCGAAACATTTGTATCCACGAATTACAAAGTTTTAAATTGGTCGGATAGACGTGCGGGGCCCGGGTTGTCCGTGTAATCCGTTCGACCTGTCGAAGATCGGTTAGTTGTTGGATGAGAAAAGGGGGGGAGGGGGGAAGTTAGAAAAAAACTTGGCTACCTCGAGACCAGAACCAGTCAGTCCTAGTAGTCGGCCAATCTGTCTGTCCGTCTTCCTTTTTTTCTTCCCCCTCCTCCTTCCTCTTCAACCCTTAACCCGATCTCTCTTGGGTGGGCCGCAAACTTTTCTATATCCGGTTCCGTTGGAACACTCTTTGGCTCCTTCCTTTCGATCGAAATCAATTATACGAACGACGCTGTGCGGCCAACTCTTGTACTCGTCTCTCGCCTCCTCCCCAACCATGAAATATTCATTTGTTTGCGCCACCGCGGGAGGGGAAAATAACGAGAGATACAAGCTATATATATATATATATATTCGGATCAATTGTTTTTTTTTTTAATATACTCTTCATTCCCTTATCATCTCTCGTAATATCGAAAGGCGAATTCCTCGATGAATCATTAAATAGTAATAATAATAATAATAATAATAATAATAAAGCTAACGATAATACCCCGGGAAAATTATCTATCTATCCGGGTTGATTTTAATTCCCCCGGAATAATCGCGGGATCAGTTTCCAAGGCCAGAACCAACACCGAATCTCGAAACGTTTACCTAACGAGAACCCTCTCGAGAAGCTGAAACCTTGGAACCTGTTAGCACAATAATCTTCGATGATGCGCCTTCAACCACCCTCGCTCGTCGGCTTCCTTCTTCCCTTGCTCCACCTCGAAGATCGTGGAAGGAAACTTGGTTGCCTCCCTCGAGCGATAACCCCTCCAACCACCTCGGTTGGCCCGCGGTGCAATAATTATTCCGCGGAATTCGCGGATTCCCGTAACTCGACGCGTGAAGTTTCGAATCGGAGGATCTCCAGTTGGAGCCGAGTGACGTGCCCCCTCCTCCCCTTCGTTGTTTGCAACGGGGACGTTCGCAACGTTTGGTGGCTTGATCCGACAAATAGCGGCGCGATAACCACGTCGACGATATACTGCTAATAGCGGATTGTCGAGTTGCCGCTCGGATCAACGCCGGCCGGAGAGATTAATTTTAATGCGCGATTCTCCTCCACGATTTATCCTCCCCGGAAATCCCTCATTCCTCCTTGAGCTCCTGTGTTTCCTGCGAATTGTGGAATCACGATTCCGACGTGGCACGGTCGAATTGGTGGTTATGTTGAGGTTCGATTTCTTGGATTCTGCTCGGATCGAGAAGGGTTGCTAGATTTTTGAAAAGTGGTTCGTTGTTGGATTTAATTGATTGAAGATTGGAGAGCGATTATTGCTGACACGAACGATATGTATATGGCGTGGTGGGTAATAATGATGAGATAGTTTTAAATATTGGAAGGAGCGTTTAAACAATTTTGCATATCCTGTGCTTCGATACGACGAATCTGGAATCCCGTATCATTGAATTTTGCAAACGAAAAAGAAAAAATAGGACAAACACGAATATTATTAAATCCTCCGATTCCTTGTAACACTTTGGGGTTGAAGATCGAATCAGTTTCCAGCGTTAAAATACCAACGAATCGCAAAGTCCAGCCAAGTAACCGGAAACGGATGGAGAAATCCGGGGACTAAGCCCATCCAGTGGCATCGCAAAGACCTTAATCTCCGCAAAGTGAAAACTAATTTCCCTCGAACCGATAAATCCAAGGGG